CCCTCTCTCTCTCTCTCTCTCTCTCTCTCTCTCTCTCTCTCTCTCTCTCTCTCTCTCTCTCTCTCTCTCTCTCTCTCTCTCTCTCTCCTCTCTCTCCTCTCTCTCTCTCTCTCTCTCTCTCTCTCTCTCTCTCTCTCTCTCTCTCTCTCTCTCTCTCTCTCTCTCTCTCTCTCTCTCTCTCTCTCCCTCTCTCTCCCTCTCCCGCCCTATATATATATACATATACATATGTATTTCTCTCTCTCTCTCTCCCTCCCTCCCTCCCTCCCTCCCTCTCCTTCTCTAAACCCTTCTCTCTCCCTCTGTCTCTCGCTCTCCCTCTCCAAAATTTTGTCTTTGTCGCCGTGGAAACTGAAGCTGGACATACATCTTCACAGATCGTGCTGTGCTGCAAAACTCGCCCCTGGTGGGAATCCTCTTGGTAAGGATGCCGGCATGTGCACTCGATCACTCATCATCAGAAGCTTCCTCAGATTCGTCTGAAGCAGCAGCCCGCAGCCCTCTTGACACCCTTGTTCTTGGAACCCTTGCTCTTGTGCTTCCTCTCTTTGACACGAGAGGACTGCACGTTGTCAAAGAACCATTGCAGGTTCTCGCATGTGCCTTCCAACCAGAGCACCTGGGAACCCAGGCCTCGCAAAAGCATGCGAAGCTTGTACTCCCTGCAGCTCACCTCCACCGTCTCGGGAAGGAGGATCATGCTTTTGCTCGTTGCACGTTGAAGCTTGGCTTTCTTCTTGGGGGGACCTCCCTCGTGCTCGACAGTCTTTGCTTTCGTGAGAAGATCATTCGCGGCTTCCTGGCGAGCCTTCACCAGATCCTGCCACAGGTCGCAGTCCAGACTGCCGCTGGAGGAACGTTTCTCCTTGGCAAGATAGAGCTTCTTGCCTGTCATCAGGTAGACAAGATCCGAGTCCCATTTGAAAAATTTGATGTATACCTTGCCGTCCACGGTTACCTCTTCGGTCGGGACCCATGCCTGCTCGCCCTTCAACACCCGCAACTGCCGATGCACACTGAAGGCCATGGCAACCTATCGTCGAAGCCTATATATGCGAGCTGATGCTGTTGGACAAAAGCTGACATGCAACACACCCTCAGGCTTGCATGCTCAATTGATGTGCCTGGGGCATGCGAGCTCATGAGCCCTGCAACTGCCCATATGTCATGCACATCACACTTGGATCCTTTCTTTCCTGCACAGCACACATCGCTCATGGAAGTCGCCATGTATATAAACTCTGGCACGACATGCCAAAGGCCAATATGAAGCACACTTCACATATATGGAAGCCGTCTAGATGGCGAAATCTCGACACACAAAATGCGAAAGCCTTTCAGAGCACACTTGGCGCAAGTCACCTCCATCCTTGTTTATAAAGTTTGTACACAATGAAGTGAATCTCCTTGGCCGTCGTCTGGATTGCCCGGAAAAGCGCCATCATCGGCTTTGGGAATGTGGTTGGAGCTGCAGATGCAAAAGCATCGGGTGTCGGCACTCTTTCCGATCGAGGAGATCATGCCCGAGTGCACGGCAAGCTGCCCTCAACCATGATATAGTTCACCTTGAGGGCAAGGACAAGCTTCTTGGCGAAGCTTTCACTCGGACTCGAATGGGCTTCACATCCAACCGGAGCTTGCTTTGGACCGTTTCTTGATCCAAGCCCCACATCTGATTCATCTCAAGCATGAGACCCGCCATAAGGACCGAGGCTACTTACTCAGGGTTGCTAGCATGGCTCTATATATAGCTGCCTTATGAGCAAACTTGCAGAGCGACAAAGAAGCTGCATCATATGCCATGAGCCATGCATGAAGCACTGCAGAGGCTATTGCGAGCTGCTATAGCCCTGCAAATGCCTGCAAACTGCAACCTCATGCATGATATGCCTGCAGCAATGTGCTCAATCTCTTTTGGCATATGCATGACCGTCCAGGCATGCCGATTGAAACCGATGCATTGCCGCCCATTGAAACCGGCAATTTCAATCTTCGCTCATACACGATGCTTGCTTGAGCAGCATGCAACAAAGTCGCACCAACATATTCTCATGCATACCATATATACATGGCTATATCATAGTTTCAGAAGCTGCATGCTGCAAACTCGCGATCCCTTCAGCCCATCTTCAGCCGGCGACGTTTCGCAGCAAGAGGGGATGCCTCTTCAAGGTCTTCCGCGGCCGCTTTCGAAACAGGCTTGTAGATCAAGAGGGAGTCGCCGATGCTGATGGCTGCCTTGTTGCGCAACAACGGCCATTTTGCGAGAGGAGCCTTGTGCATGAACTCCTCCAAACTGGCCTGCTCTTCGTCCGGAGTCGTGGGCACTGCGAAATACGGGGCGAGGAATCCGTGCCCGCCTTCTTCTCTCGGCAATTGATTGCTGGACACTGCAAAGAAGAGCCTGCCGTCTTTTTTCCATGTTGTCTGCAGAGGTGTCCCCGAAGGCATCCCCGAAGTGTCGTCAGGGTTTTTGAAGATAATCTTGGATGTCACCGGCACGAGAACGAGCTTCCTTTTCGGAAATGCTGCAGTTGCCGTGAGTGCCTTTGAAGGCTTCAGCTGCAAGCTCAACTTGCCTTGCAAACTGCTCGATCCAAACGTCTTCCACAGCCCCTGAAGCTCCTGCAACAATGCACCGACAAACACGTGGGCCTGCCAATCCAAACTCTCATCGGGGTTGAAGGGGGTAAGGTCTGCGATCACGGAGGGCTGCGGCTTGGCAACGACCTTTGTCCACTCTTTGCTCATGAAGGATTCGAGGCTTGCTTTCACTATGACCACAGTGGACTGGTTCTCCACTCGCACATAAGTCTTCTTCACACCACGGATGATGTACTCGTCTTTGTCATTCTTTCGCTTGATCGTGCAGCCCACCTCAAAGCCTGCCTCTCGCATAACCTCGTCAGGGTTACCATAGGTTCCATCGTCAAGCAACTCTCGCATGGCAACCGTGCTCGGCTGTGCTGTGGTCGCATCGCCGGATCCCGAAGGCGTCTCTTCGGCCTTGTCGGCCCACGGGTTCTCGAGTGCCTGGGTGCTGATTTTGCTGAGCAAAACCATACAGTCGTGAGCTATGCCGTGCAGGCTTTTGTAGCGCTTTTCCTGCGGCTGCACGACCCCCAAAATCTTTGCGGCAATGTTCACTTCCGTCATGCCGAGAATGTGCAGGGCATCGGGGCTGTTGAGCGGGTCAAGGCCGGCAGAGTTCATTTTCTCACGGATCTGTGAGAGCAACGAATCCGCCGTCTTCGCCTGGTCCAAACCCTCCTTCGACCACACTTTCCGAAGATCGCTTGCAAACACATCGTGGGCTCCGCTCAGGGCGAACTTTAGCAGACCATGACGGACAAACGGTTTAGCGATTGATCCTCGCGGTTCATGCGACAGTTGTTCCCAAAATGCAGGACCCATACTCTTGCTCTGGCCCCTCGCTCTCAAGAATCGCTCTGACTCCAACAGTAAGTGTCCGCCGCGACCCCCACAGAACCTCAGCGAAACCATCAACACCACAAACAGGAATGCATGTAAACAACAAGATGGCATGAAATCTATATATGCAGTCAGAGAGCTTGACTGCGAATGAGAAAATGCCCGGTAAGCAGGCCGAGCAAGGTGGCTTGGAAGCCAAGGCTTGCTTTTTGATGCTGGAGAAGTCAACTTTCTCCACGGCCGAGACGAGTCGATGAACCCGATGCAAGAGCTGCATTTCGGACTCCTGCTTTTGAAGCGTAGCATTCATGGCCGATTGGACGAGGCCCAGGAACTGCGGCCATCTTGTGGCCACTTCCCTCGATATGACATCCCAGACCAGCCCCTCACGGGCTGCATTGGCAAGCTCAGGGTCTCGCCGGGCCACTTTCTCTAATGAAAGCCGTCCATCCACCGAAGCCGCCGAAGTAGAAAGAGCTGCCCCCTGTGACAACAATCGCAACATGAAATTTGTATGCGACCCAGCCAATGACACAACCTTCAGCATGTCACCGTCCAGCTCGCCCAGCTGGCCGCCGGAGCCTCGGACGAGGTCCTCGTTGAAGCGACGGACGGATGCATCCGTTATCTCCACAGCCAGGGCTGTGATGCGGTCGCGAACAAATCCGACAGACAACACATTCTCTAGCAACTCCAAGCAGTCGCCTGCGATAATCCCGGCACCATCGCGGTTTTTCGGGTGCACGCCCACGTGCATGGGGCTGAGCCTCATGCTCGTGACCAAGTTGTTCTGCTTGAGAAGTTGGAGCAAGTCTTGCACTGTCCGGACCAACCGATCTCCTTCAGCGGCTTGGTCCAGCATGCTGTCCACCTGGGCGATGAGATCGGGCGAAAGCACCGACATCACGGCCAACCTCGACTTTGCGAGACCTGCAAGTCTTGAGCACTCGACTTTGCGAGATATGCGAGGCATCCATGGTGCATGATCTGCATTATATTTCCCATGCCCTGCTTCGGCAACGAGGCCAGCGAGCAAAGGAAATATGTTGACATGAGCAGCAATGTCGAACCATGTGAATGCAAAATAAAGTTGCTATCCTAACTTGCCTGACTTGTGATAAGTCCACTAAGTTCAATTACAGATATACGGCTAATTGCCCCATCATACTTACTATCTTCTGGTCGAAAATTGTTATGTGCTGTAAATACTTGGGCAACATCATAAGAACATAGTAAATGACCGCTTTAAATAGTAAATCACCTTTCTGTTTTGTGATACATCGATGAAATATAAGTCCATTAACATGCACATATGGAACATACTAATTCCATTTGCTTTACATACTATTTCTCACATGTGCCCTAAACAGATAGCAAACCCCGGGGCCGCCAAGTAGGCCGCGTGGCCTTGAGTCAGGCTGCTCGGCCTGCTCCTCGAGAGGGGCGGGGTTACCCGCAGCCTCCTCCTCTTCAGCAGCTTCGGCCTCTTCGTCGGCTGCTGCTTCCATCGCCGCGTCCTCCACCTCTCGAGCTTCGAGGTCGTGCTCCGATATGTAGTCGTAGTGCCCCAGGTCTCGGCCTGGGCTTGGTGGCTCTGGCGCCACCGGTGCCACCCGGTTTGTTGACCCCGGCGGGAGCTCCCGCTCGTAGGGTAGGAGGAACTGTGACCCTCTCTTGAGGATCGAGGCTCGGACGCCGTCGGGCCACAAAATGTGGCTGTCCTCGGTGGAGCCAAATGCCCGCACCGGCCTCAACAGCACGGCTGATGCTGAGGATTTCGTCCTCTATGTCCTCGGTCACCTCAAAGTTGACCTTGCAGGACTGACGCTCCTCCCCTAAGAGGAGGCTCGGCTGGACTTGGCCCTTTGTTTTCAGGCGGCTGTTGTCCACCGAGTAAAGGCTCTTTGGTGGGCCCGCGGGCTGCAGGTCGGGAAACGCCTCGGGCCTGCAGACGGACACACACGCCCCGGAGTCCACAAGAAGACTCCCCGACACCTTTAGGATCTTGTCCTCTTCTGGCTCGGTGTCGTAAGGCGGGGCAAACCGCACACCTAAGATGCGGTCGTCACGCACCTGGCGTACCTGGCCTTTGCCGCCAGAGCCGCCGGTGCTTCCTCCAGCTTGGGACGCGGAGGGACCCGCAATCGCCAAGGAGGCTGTTGACACTGTCGTGGCTGCGTCGTCGGCCACTTGGGCCACCTGGCCCTTGGTGCCTTTGCCTTTTCCCTTGGCGTTGAACCAGCACTCTTTTACGGTGTGCCCCGTTTTCCAACAGATGGGGCATCTCTCCTTGCCGTCTCTGTCTCCTTGTTGGTTCCCCTTTTTGTCCCCTTTTCCTTTGCCTCTGTTGTTGTGGTCGCCCTTGCCCTTCTTGTGGTCTTTGTCCCCCTTTTTGCCTTTGTCGCCTTTGCCTTTTCCATCCTTCCCGTCTCGGTCCCCTATTCTGCCAATGTCCATGGCGTTAGGATCCCTTCGGGAGGAGGCGGCGTAGCCCGCACTCGGGGTCCAGACCCTTTTGGCTTGCAAGTAGCTCACCACCACTTCCCTCACCTCGGCATAAGTCGAAAGACTCGCCGCGTGCATAGCGAGGTGTTGCCGAAGAGCGGTGGGGCTCTCGGTAACCAGCACTGCCCGCAGATCTTCGTCTGCTAGGGCGCGCCCTGCGCCATACTCGGAGGCGTAGCGGTCCAGGTCTGCCTCCCATTCCTGCAGAGCCAAGGAGAAGTCGCTCTCCTTTGGCGGGAACTTCGGCATCAGCAGGGTTCGCCTCCAGGTGAGGTTCTTGGACTCGTTCTCCGGGTTGTGCTCCTGCCACAGGAGGCGCCAGAGCTCGAACCCATTCTGGCCCTTCACTCCGCGCGCCAGCTTTACAGCTGTGGCGGAGTCCTGGGTCCAGCTGCCCAGCATGCCGAAGAGGCGGACGCTGAGGGTCCGCACTTCTTCGGTCATGACTGACATTTGGAGTGGCGCCTTGCACTTCCGAGCTATCTCCAGCTCTGCTGGATACCTGGTGTCTACGACTGCCAGGTAGGACTCTGCCTGAAAGGCAAAGCGCTCCCAGTCGTCCCGCCCCTTAAGGGAGGTAGGGAGCCGCATGCTCTTAAGCAAATGCCCTCCACCGCTCGCCTGCGTGGGCGCAGGGGCGGGTGCCGCCGTAGCGGCTGCCACCGTGGCGGCTGCTGCAGCTAGGCCCTGTTGCCTTTGGGCCGCAAGCTCGCCAATCGCAGCCTGCAGCTGCTGCGCTTGGCTCTCCAGCAAACCCCTAAGGTTTGCCACTTCCCCGCGCAAGGCCTCGACCACGGGGTCGCCCTGCGGGGGTGGATAAGCCGGTTGCTGGCTCATCTCTTGAGGCGTCGAAGATAGCCTGGCTGATCTCGTCCAGCAAGGTCAGGGCTTCTCCGTACTGCTGTGCCAGCCTTGGGTTGCCTTCCCAAGGGGTCTCTGGCCTGTTGCGAGCCGCGTGCCTGAGTCCGTTGAGGAACTGGCACGGCCCTTGGCCCTCGGAGCTCTCTTCGGACTCCTCGCCCTCTTCCTCACCGTCCTCGGCCGGTGAGGTGGGCTCTAGCTCCTGCTCCGGAGCTTCCTCCCGAGGCGCGGGAGGTACCGCAGCCTCGGGCTCTGCTGGCCCTGGCTGTGCGGCCTTGGGTTCCTCCTTCAGTGGAGGCGGTGGTCCCAAGTGAGGTGGCGGCGCCTTCACCGTCGGTGCTTTGGCTGCCGGAGCACCTCTCGGTAGGGCCTTCGGCTCTGCCTTCGGGGTGGCCTGGTGGGTCCACTCGCCGGGGCCGCTTGCTCCTGCCCAGCTTCGGAGCTGGGGCTTCCAGAGCTTTCTTCTTTTGCCTCGGCCTTCGGTGAGGCCTTAGGCTTTGCCTCCTCGGCTGGCTCTGCGGCCGCCTCTGCGGAGGCAGGCGGGGCAACCCGCTCTGCCGGCTCTTCCTTCTTAGCAGGGACGACCCCGCTAGAGTCGCTAGAGGAAGAAGCTGCAGCAGCAGCGGGCGGGGTTTCCCGCTCTCCTTCGGAGTTGCTTCCCCCGAAGTCTGGAGTGTCTTCGCCAGGCGCGGGGCCTGTGAAGACTGGCGCCTTGGGCACCGCCGCGGTGTCCAAGGAGGATTCCGAGCTTGGGCTCTGAATCACCTGGCCGGCACCTGCAGGAGTTTCCTCCGGCGTGCGCGGCTCTGGGATATCAGTCCCCGGGCCCTCTACGAGGACGACCGGGTCTGTACCCTCTCTTTCGCGCCTTTCGGCGCCGCGGGCCTCGCGGTTGGCGCGGGCCGCTTGGGAACGACCACCTCGGTGGTTCTTCTTCTTCCCTGAACCTTGTTCAGGCTCTTGGGTCGCAGGCTTGCCCTTGCCGGACTTGCCTGCTGGAGCTGGCTTGCCCTTTGCGAGCTGCTCTGCTCCTTTTGCTTGGGCTGCCTTGCCCTTTGCGGGCTGCGCAGCTCCCTTGGCAGGCTTGCCCTTGGTGGGCTTCCCTGCTCCCTTCTCCCCGCGACGGGGGGTTCGGCTCCCCGACTCCGAGGCGGGGCGGCCCGCACTCGGGCCGGTTTTCCCTTTGCCCTTTTCGGGCTTGGCTGTTCTGCCCCGGTTTTGGTTCGGGGCTTCGGTGCGCTCGCCTATGAGAGGGCGGCGTCGAGCTGGAGCTTCGGCGGCTCCGCTCCCCTTGGCACCTTCTGGTGCCTGACTGGAAGAGGCCTCCTCATGCTGGGAGGTCCTCCAGTCCCACTGGGAACTCCAGTCGGAGTCCCAGTCCCACCAGCCCCACCACTCGGACGTGGCGGCTGGCGGGTGGCGGTTCGGCCCGCGCACCCAAGGAGCGTCGGGGCCTACCGAACCAGCTCCGCTACCATGCGCGGAGGTTGGGTCGCGTATTGGGCTCACTATTTTCACTCTGCAAAAGAGGGCTGCGGTGAGTCGCAGTCAGGTTAAAGCCCTTTAGCTCAAACCCTCTTCTCTCTAGACTGTACAGCTACTTACCTAGGTTTCCTAGTGTAACCTACAAAAATCTCGCACATTCTGCAACAGCTGCTTGCTCCGAACAGCGTCCTGCACGCTGAAGACCTTGAAGCAAGCCATGATGTCATAGCTGGGGAACTCTGCAACGAGAACCTTGTCTGCCAAGGCCACATATGTCGCCATTCGCCTGAGGCACCTGGCCTTCAGGTCCTCAGTGATGTCCCCGCCCAGTGACATGGCTCTGCCCTGCTGCAAAACGAACGTTCGCTTAAGCTTCAGGTGTTCCAACATCACGGTGGTCAAGCAAAGAATCTGCAAGCACATGCCTTCAACGAAGAGTTTCCCCAAAACTTGCCGGAAATGCTCCAGATAGAACGGGAACTCGATGATGTCTTCCTCATCCCGGTCCGCGATCTCCACCAAACGCTGGACTTCCAAGGCCGCATCTCCAAGCATCCCGAGCTGCATGCACTTCTCAGTGTCCAGCCACTGGAGGGTGTGCAAACACGCAGCCCCCTCTTCTGAGCTGCAGCCTCGCACGTCCGGCACACAGCTGAGAGTGCCCAGGATGCTCTCAAACGACACAACAACGCGCAGCAAGGTGACTGATTCGGAGGAATAGCGCTGCGGCGCATACCTCAAATCTGAGCCACACGGAGCATCTGGCAGCTTTTTTCTGAAGTCTTCGTAAAGCTGCTTGATGGCAGGCCTGTGAGTGATCAGCTTGGCAATGCTGTTCTGTTTTTCAAGGATCTCCACCACACAGCTCTTGAGAAAAGACTCTGCTGCCCAAGGTCGGCTCAGAAGCCTGCACACAAACAACTAAATTATACAAAACAAACAGAACGTTGTATGCAACCGCGCCTTTGCACTGCATGTGCTCTGTCTCGATTTATCACCTTCCGGTACCACGCTGCACATCAAACAAGTCAAAGCGGCAACACATCCTAACAGCGGGCCTTCAAGTTGCTCAGGAACTGGGTCAAATGCTCCTGAAGTGGAGGGATGGCAGGGCCTGCCAGAGGCCCGCCCTGAAGCTCTCGCGCGGCAAGCTGTTCATCGTAGGCGCTATCTGCAGCAAAACCTTCGATGCGGCTGCAGAGCATAACCAGAAAGTCCTTATCTACCTGCTGCTCCCCCTCGGGGCTTTTGACCCGCAAACCACCATAGTTGGGTGGCACCTCTTTGCTGCAAAATGATGTGATGCACGGCATGATCGCCTCTCTGAGACCATCTGCGCCTGGGGCTTGCGCGCTTCCAACGTGCTTTTTCAAGCCCACGGTTCCACTCAAAACCTCCAAGTTCTCTGTTACGCATCGAAATCGCAGCAAGAAGCGATTTCCTCGCATATCCGACTGAATGGATATGCACAGGGCATTCCGCATCTTGTCTTTCAAGCTGCGGCGATGCGCAGTGGCTATGCACCAGCGCATCATTCGACACTTCCCCGTGGCTGCCACTGCACCTACTGCAGTCAACTTGGGCTCGTGCAGAACTTGCTTCCATTCTGGGAAACTGGGAGAGCTGGCATCATTCTTTGGCTCTTTGCCGTCGTCTTGGTCCATGTGCATGGAGAAAGCACGTGCTGCTATCTGGTGAGCTGGGGAGTCTGCGTGCTTCTGGAACCTTTGCAATTTCAACTCCCCGTGCTGCACTTCATACCTGGCAAAGTGATGCCTTGAAACCATGAGTCCATGGAACAACTCTGGCTGGGATTGCTGCACCTCTGCACATTGTCGGCAACCCAGCCCCCAACAGCTGGAGTTGTCCTGTATCCGGAATTTGGCATCCAGCCATGGGAACTTCTTTTTCCACGCTGACTGGTTTGCGATCCACTTGCACCGGGGGCAGTTCCTCTTAGCGGGGCATTCTGCTGAGTGCTTCTGACCGCATAGGCCACCCACAGCTGCTCTCACAGCCAGCAGGGCTGGTGCAGGACCTTCCTCTGCATCGAACTTCCTGTTTGTGCGTGCTGACATCTTGCTTTCCTGCGAGCCAAAATGGCTCTGCCAAATGACAGCCCAAGCCCGATGCTGCATATTTTCATTGACATGCAAGGATTGAATCAAGGCTTTACTAGTAACATGGACTGAAAGTGGATTGAGCACTTTTGCATGGGCCAAAGTGGATTGAGCACTTTTGCATGGCAAAAGCCGCCCAAGTAATCTTTAGAAGTGAAAGGTTACATGGGCTCTGTTTGTGTCTATGTATGTGTCTGTTTGTGTCTATGTATGGGCTCTGTTTGTGTCTATGTTCTCTACTGTGTCCATGTTCCAATTTTTAGGGGCAGGAGGCATTGTTTGCAAGCCTCCTTCCGAACAACAAATCAGACAATCTTCATTCATTTGGCCTCCTTCCCTTTGGGTAGGAGGCCCCGATCAGGAGGCCCAGGCCCAGGCCTCCTTAATTTGGCCTCCTTCTCACCTGGAGCAGGAGGCCCCGATCAGGAGGCCCAGGCCTCCTCAATTTGGCCTCCTTCTTACCTAGAGCAGAGGCCCCGATCAGGAGGCCAGGCCTCCTTATTTGGCATCGATCAAGAGGCACATGGCTTGAAAGGATGATATGCTTTGCTGCTTTGCCAGCCGTGCCACCCATCCCCCCTAAGTCTCAAATCCGAGTTCGATCGAAGTCTTATGCTAAGTTGAACATATAACGAATTATGAAGACCTATGTTTGGTGTAGATAGGATAGCTGTGAAGCGATCAATGGTGGTGGTTTGCTGTTTTAGTAGACTTACCATCCACATCATGTGTTAAGTAAGCTGAATAACTTCAACCAATCAACCCCCAAGATCCTAGTTTATTGGGCCCCAGTAATACCAGTACCAGTAGAAAGTCAGTGAGCCACCGTGAACCACTGCCAGGACTAACCAGCGACACAACACGTCGCAACAATATCGCTCTGTAGTACACATGACAATGTAGCGTTCCCGTTCGAGTGCCGCTGCGAGTTTGCACGAGGGAGTAGATCATTCAGTTGCTTGAGTTGTGGATTTCGCGTTGAGCGCTCCAGCCATTTGCGTGGGAGGGCGGGGGTTTGGAGCGAGGTAAGTTCGAGTTCGGCTCAGGTCGAGTTCGAGTACACAGCGGAATGGAGCTCCAAGCACGAATCGTGCTCTCAAGGCAAGAAAGCGTGAAAAGACAGAAGCATGTACGAACGTTACTGGTTGATCATAGATCGCCACGGTGCTGGCTTGTTGCCAGGTCAACAAGGCCAGCCTCCTTCTCTTCCTGCTTCATGCGCTCCTGCATGGCCTGGGACATATCGAACCTCAGTACCGCAATCGTAAGAAGGTTCCCACGCCGCGTGGGCTCTGGAAGAGACGAACGTCCGGCGACTGCAAAGTAGAAAACTGTGAGCCACCTGTTCCCCTCTTTTGCTTTCGGTTTCTTTCGTGGTGACACGGCAGGCACACGGCCCACTGGTGGTGCACAACCTGCAGATTTCAAAAATGTCTGCCTTTTCAGGGTACAGTTACAGACGTGCTTATATCTGGCCCTGTGCTTCAGCGAAACAAGCAGGTCTTAATTGCCCTTTATCGCATCGAGTCTTCAAAACACTGTGTCCCGAAAGAACTTCAAGAATGCAGTTTGCGCTGAAGCTGGGAAATCCTCGTCAGGGTACGTTTCCACACGTTCTCTGAGCATGTCAACTCTGTGAGGGCCGCCTTCTGCAAGTGCGAATGTGTCGTATGCAGCTTCGTCAGGAGTGCCTCGATGTTCAGTTGCAGTATGTCTGTCTTCGACTCGTATTGTTCACGAATGACATGATCCACGAGGCCAAAGTCTGCAGCACCATCTTTCCCGAGGAACGCGTAGCAGGTGAGGAGGATCTCTTCCTGGAGGAGGGAATCTAGCTTTCGGAACTTGCGGGCCCCGTCGTCGCAAGACAGGACTCCACTGCCATCGATGTCGTTGCGTAGACGGGCCCAGGCTGCAATCGAGTGTTGGATTGCAACGAGGCTGGATTTGTTGCTCTGCTTCAGAGCCTCGTGCACTGGATCCACAAAGTCGTCGTAGGCCAAGACACGTCCAAGCTCAGCCAAAGACTTCTGCAGGTTGACGGCGTCAGATGGTATCTTTGGACCGGAGGTGGTGCCCCCTGGCAACCCCGTCTGGGAGGGTGGCCGTGTTTTGGCAAGAGCATCGTGGACGATGAAGGGCATTTCCATCAAGCTCGGGTAATAGTTCTGCGCACTGAGGTCCACGAAAAGGCCCAGGTTCATGAGGACGACCTGCATGTCGTCATCTTCCACATTGCCACACACATTGCGAGCGAACTTCTCCCAGCTTGGGTAGTCCTCCATCATCGCTGCGACTACATCGGACTGCACCTGAGCGGCGGCTATGCTCACATGACCGAGTGCTGACATTACGGCACCGACCTTAGCATTTCGTGTCGGTTCTGCGAGCGCATACTACATGAACCACAGGTATCGGCATGGTATCGGCTTCGGGATTTGGTACCGGGTCCACACGAAATGGTGCTTTGCCCTCCTACAACAAAGGGATCAAGAAGCCCAAATCATGCTAGTCCCCCACCTTGTAGTAGGCATTCCGAAGTTGACTCAGCCGTTTGTTGTCGTTGTTGACGATGACAGCCAGGTAGTCCATGATCAGTTGCGTGTCCAGAATCGTGCGGGAACGACCCATAGCTTGCCACACCACCCTGTCCCGCATCAGCAGCTTGGAGTCCTTGAAAGCCTTGTGCAGCTTGTCCCTGTCCACGAAACCCACCAGCCTGCCGATCGACATGACGTCCGCTCCCAGCTGCTCAAGCTGCATCCACGCCTCGTGTGCGTAGGCCACTGCAACCTGTCCGGCTTGCAAACTTTTGACCAAATCGTCGCGAACTACCATCAGCAAGCGCTCGCTTCTGTTGCAGGCTGCTATGCGCTGAAGCGCGATGCTGAGCTCGGGCGACAGGTTCATTCTGGAAGCAGCAGAGTCCACAATTGCACCTGAAGGCCACGACGCTCTGGTGCTGGACATGACCATGGTTTACCCTACTGGCCTCATCGTCATCGTGCCACCATCAGCAGCACCAACGAAACAGACAGCAGAATTCACCGTATGGGCCTCACCATCATCAACAACATCACCGCCATCAGCATCAACTCAATGGCATGGCATCATCGACAGCTCTGTACTCAATGCTGCCAAGCTTCGCTCGAAGTTTTTGGCCCACGAGCAGTTTGCTTCGCGAGGGCGATAATGGCTCTTGGGCTGATCAAGACGCAAGACCAGAAACTAAAACCCCCATGAGATCATTGTACAGGCATTGTGTCACCTGCGTCAACCTTCGACAGCCAGAGGTCTTTGCATTTTGATGGAGCCGCCAGTGCTGCACACCGAAGCTCTCATGGGATCTCTTGCATGCGACACAGATGCTCTCAGCCTCCGACACTCCAAAAGTACACAGCTTTAGGTTTGGCGAGGCTGTGGCTGAGTCTTCATGAGCTGGGACTCCACCGCCCTACGTCGCTGCCGCTCCATCAGCTCCTCTTTCACTCTTACAAACATGTGAGGAAATGATGACATTACGTAATGTCATTGGACACTCACACTCGGACAAGCCTGGCATTATTTCATTGATGTGGAGCACATCCTCTGGAATTTGTTGCCATGTCATCGAGGCTTTCAGGCACTCGAAAGCTCTGTCCTGCTGGCGGAACTGCTCCTCCAGCTCTAGCGTGCGATCCATCCTTACCCACCCATCTTACATCCGCAGCAATCCGGAAATGCAGGAGACATAAGGGCAGCAACATAATCACTTTGCTTTGCTTTGCTCGGGGTGTGGGGTGGGAGCAGTCCTCCCATAATCACTCTCTCTCTCTCTCTCTCCCTCGCTCTCGGGGTTCGGGCAAAAGCCACCGCTACACATGATGTTGCTCCAGCCCTCCAGGCATACAATCCGCATCATGACCAAGATCGAGGGCTAAGGAAACATTTAACCTGACTCATGGAACCACTTGGAGCATCTCCGCACTTCTCGAGGCGGCGGAGCTTCAAGACCGTCCGACCGTCCGACTCCGCTGGACTGGGATTCCCTGCGCTTCTTGATCCCGGAGGGCGCGCCGCGCCGCACTCCGCTTGTGGTGCTTGGCCCGCACCAGTTGCTGCGCGGTGGCCTATAGGCTTAGGCCCAAGAAGTGCCGATGGAAAGGAAAGGCCTAGGGCCTTAGGGAGGAAAAGGAGCGCCTCTTTCAGCATCTCCTTCTTCTGCCGCTGCTTCTGGAGCCTCCAGTTTTCGAGACGAAGCATTAGCTGAAAGCTGGGACTCCGGGCTTCCCACTCTTCCGTCGCAGCGGACTGGGCACGCTCCATCTGAAATCAAAGGTCAAAGGATGCAGCTACGACAGCCACGAGGAATCAAGCCTGTGAGCACTAGAGGTGGCCTCTGCAAGCATGTTTGCCCGGTCTTGCCGCTTCTCCACGTCCTGCTTTGCAGTCTTGTCAGACTTCGAAGCCGCTATAACACAGCCTGGAATAGTACTCAAGCTGAGATTGCGCCTGCCAGCGCAGTCATCGCCCCCATGTTTCCTACGACTGCTACTGACTCCGCTTTTGGTCCTGCTTCATCTGCAAGTCCAAGGCTTGACGGTACTTCTCAGCCTTGTCCTGAGCAGCTTGGCTTCGGGATAAGGACGCTGAATCGCTTTGCCTCGCCTGCTTCTGCCGCTTCTTCTCCTCAGATGCAGCCGAAACGAAGCATAACAAGCTGCGAGCTGCCACAGAATCTCTTTGTCTGCTTGCTGCTATGGGTCTGAGGCACAACATCTCTCCCTCCAGGGCGAATGTTCGAAGTTCCCCGGGCCGAGAGGCGCACCCACGTGTTGTAGAGGCTGGGTAGGAGAACTGTGAAACCAAATCCCAAGTGCATGGTGGAAAAGGAAACGAAAGTATATGAATCTTCAGAAATCAGCACACTGGAGGAAAAGCCACAACATCTCCCTCTCTCTGTCTCTCTGTTTCTCTCTCTCTGTTTCTCTCTCTCTGTTTCTCTCTCTCTGTTTCTCTCTCTCTCTCTTCTTCTTCTTCCGCCGGGCATGAGGGGCTGTTAAGACCCCTCGGCCACTATTGCCCCCCCATATTTTGTGGGGACTTTGGAGGAGTGTGAAATTAATTTCGTAGTTGTTTCCCCAAGTGGATCCTTTCCAGCATAACAATGGAAACCAAGTAGTGTATTGTTGTGATCCCCCCGGGTTTTGACTACTTCTGCAATCAGTTCTCCCCTGCATCGGACTGGGGTTTGTGTCCAAAGATAGTAGAAACGACAAAACGTGTTCAAGATGAAAGTAAACTGACTTCACCCCCGTCGACCATGCTGGGTGTGTTCGTCTGACGGCTACCTGGCATCTTGGCATTTCCCCGTTGAGGATGAAGCAACAGCTATAGAGCAAGGACACATCGTAAAGGGTCACATATCACCGGGGATGCCTTCGTGCCTATTTTCGACGTCGGTTTCGTTAACCCAGGTTTGCGAACCTGCATATTAGAAGAAGAACAGACTCAGCAACATCATAACTAACTCCGGGTTAACCACAGGTAAGTACAGTTCAGGTGCATCGGCCAATATATGATGAAACAACGGCTTGCAGGTACATGAGAAAAGGAGGAAGCATAGGATCTCACAACAACGCCTGATGCATTTTGAAGTACAAGTAGGATGCTCCACATCCTGTGTCGTAGTGTTACCGTGTGTTGTCGGTGGACCGGGGCAGCATGTCAACAGCAACTACGAACAAACATCACTACAGTGCAACTAGAGATGTAAAGTATCAAGGTTTCCCCCATGTCCCCCGTTTGCCAAGCTCAGGCAGCCTCACTCATTCCCCGCTCACAAGTGCTCATGTAGGTGTTCGGCAAGTTCTCGGCGTCGTCGGTGGCTGGCGTCTGAAGGCGTCGGGCTCCTTTGCCTTCCTGTCCCCCCCCCATGCGGACTGCTTTGGCTGGGGCTGTCTGGGGTCCAGCCATGGAACAGGGCCAGATTTCCCATGCCGTGGTGCCGGTCCAGTTTCCACCATTCCCCCGCTGTGTCGGGCAGTCCATGTTCTTCTTCTGGGATTCGTCGTGACACGCTCCGCAGCAGCTGCATCAGGGCTTCGTGGACCTGGGGGAGTCGTGCCACGGGCCATGTGTCTATCCCCCCGTTCCACTCTTGGATTTGAAGTATGGCTGCCTCCCATGTAGCGAGCTCAGGAGGTCTGTCCACGAGGTTCGTGTCGTGCTCCCCCGCAGCCATTGCCACCACGTTGGCCGGGTGTGTCAGGCGACACACCCCTAGTAGCTTGTCCAACGCTTCGGTCACTGCAATGAGTTGAGCCCAGTCTGCCGTGGTTGTGGTGCCGTCCAAGATCTTGTTCAGGGCTTTGCGCAGTGGCTCTAGTATCGGCGGCAGTTGTATTCTCACTGCCACGTCCCCCATAGGCAGCGACGAAAACCATTGCATGAGGGCTGCTACGTGGGGCTCTACATGTGCGTAACTCAAGCATGTTCCCCCAAGAGACATTTGCTGACGTGCGATGTATGTCAGGGCTGTTATGGCTTGTCTCGCTGCTTCGTGTGGTGTCTTAGGTGCCGCGTTGCTGATGCTGCAGGAAGCCCCCATATTTGGTCCTGCTGTTGGCGGCGGCTGTGGGACGTGTCCTCCGGCCTGTTGGCCCCCGTAGTCATGAGTCTCTGCTAGTTCGGCTGCGGTCGGTGTGTCGACCAGGAGGTGCATGAGTGCGAGGTCTGCATTGTGCATAATTGCTGCAGCTGCTGTCCCTTCGTGTGGTTGGATGATACGCCGGATTTCCTCGAGGTGTCTTTCCACACGCTGCCAGGAGTGTTCCCGGCTGGCGGCAGGTTCAAGCGCGGGAGCATGTGCAGCTGTTGTCGTGTTCTGTGGCGGGTTGTGTCGGTCTTGGGCCAGACCCGTTGCTTGCTGTGGTTGTTGGTTGGCTCGGGGAGCTGTCGTTGTTCGTAGGTTTTGGGCTGCAGTCGTGGTGTCGATCTCCATGCTGATGTCACCTTGTGTGGTGGGTTGTGGTTGGGTCTCCTGTGGTGGCGGTGGTGATTGTTGTTCCAGTAGCTCCCCGGTTGACTTCTCGTGGCTGTCTGCTGAAGGTAATGTTGCTGAGAAAATGCTTCTCTGCATGAGGTTGGTATGCTCGTCGTCATGCTTGCCATCCGGGTTGTTGCCGTCGGGTTTGTGGTCGTTGCTCTTTTTGGGGCCGATGGTTCGACCGTCGTGGAACTGTGCTGCCAGTGGGGTGTAGGGTGGTCGATCTGCATTCGGTGGGGGGTGTGGCACGGTATGTGCCGGTCGCTGTGGTGTGAGACGGTTGGGTTGGTTTTGGCGTAGTGCTCGTCTGTCCACGAAAGCGGGTGGCTGGTTTGCTGTGGCTGCTTTGCTACTCGGCTCGCCTGAGCTGGATGCTTGTTCGGGAGGGCTTTTCTGTGGTGAGGCTTGTTTACGTGCTGGCGGGTAGTAGGACCGGGGGGCCTCGTGTGAGGAGCTTGCACCGGTGTCCCCTCGATGCTCATCCTCTGCCTCTTGCTCGTCGATGCGTTGCATGGGTGGTGCAGGCGGCTGTTTTGGTACTGCTTTCCCCCGTCCGCCATTCTGTTGTGTAGTGGTGGTATGGCGTAGCCGGCGGATGTCTGCTGGTGGCTCTGCTGCCAGGGCTTCAATCCTGATCACCCACTCATTGTCAACTTCCTCGAAGAGTAGTCGATCGCCAACCGTAAGAAGCATGGTCCCAGGCATGTGGTTGCTGGGTGTAGGGCACTCTGTAATTTCTAGTACCCAGCGCGTGTCGCTGAGGGGGGTGAAGGTTGCTACAATGCCGGCTGTCAGCGGCGGTGCACTGACTGCTGTCCCCTCTTGGCCTTCGCGCACCACTCTGGGTAGGCCGCTGGCTAGGGTTTGGATGGAGGTTGGCGTGCGTGTGGTCTTGGATTGGCAGGTCAGGTGGGATGACACCGAGGTACAGTGGGGGCTGTGCGTCCGC